CAATACGTCTTATATGAATAAACATTATATACTTCTTTCATTATTATAATAACTGAAGTAATCAAAAGATTAGTTAATATCGTTGGAACGAAAATTGGAAGAAAATGAAATATTAAAATATGACTTGCCATAGTACCACACACTAGCAAACGAAACATTACGTCATTCTTGGCAACAATATATTGAGTTTTGAAGTGGAACTCAGGAAATATTGTAAACAGTGTATTGACTCTTGCACTACTCGCTAAGTGATAATGTATGTTAAACTAATAAACATGATATCCAAAAAGAATTTATTTATAATACTGGCTTCCACAAGAAACTTGCTAGTAATCAAAAATACACTGATCAAAAGAAATAAAATAAATGAATATTATAAACATTTGTAGGTAGAACTAAAATACTTTCTTTTTTAATATCAGTTACTAAATGCAAAAAGAAATTCATAACTGAAACTGAAGTAAAGTAAGATGTATTCTTGATCCAGTCCGCAGTGTAGAATGTATATCTCAACGTGCATAAGTCTAAGTTGCTTTCTTCTTTAGCACACAATTTTATAAATAATGTATGCCGTCCCTTGAACTGTTGCTGTGCATATTTATCGTCAAGAATGTATGCTATATTTCACCTTCCAAGTCAAAGCATTCTTTTTTAAAAAAGTACTTTGTAACTTTTAGGGAGACCATCCTGGCAGCCATATATTTGAAATAATTCAAAAGCCAAATGGTTATTTGCAAACAATTTTTTGTAAATGTCTTTCTCTTCAATGTGATAATTGACTTGAGTTCTGTTTATCATATAAAGCTGTCATAAGCCTGGAAATCTAAATAAATGGATGAAATTTATTAGTAATAGTTTCAAATAATAAAATTTCGAGCTGGATCATTTCTGAACTTCAGAAAAAAGAACTTAATATAAATATAGGTTTATTGAGTTTACCTCATAGGATCCTCAATGTAATCTGGCGGTATTTGAAATAATTTCGGATCTATATTATCGCAAAAGGCAAACTCTTGAAATGTGATTTTTGCTGTCACTGTGGGTAAAATGGGTATATCAATCTTAACGGGAAACCCTGGCGGCAATTTCATAAGAACAAACTCTCGCAGTTTACTAAAATGTTTGAACGGCGCTATTGCTTCCAAAACGTTAAGTAACATATCGACAGTTAGTGGAAAATCTGGACTCATGGCAACTGTTGCTTTGAAAGATTTACTACTTTCCTTGTAGACAAGATTCCTCCCAAGTAGCGGACATTGACCAGGTGGAGCCATAATATACTCTTCCCAAGTAATATCTGATTCCGGTGGTGGGTTTAACGATGCTCTTCTAACATGAGGCTAGAGTAATCAATTGGTTGAATTTAAATAACATGACAGGACTCGATTACTTCCTTTACCTTTCCATTAGCAAATCCCTGTGAACTTCCTTTTGTTAATGACTCCATAATAGCCTTATTCTTTTGCAAATCTTCTTCGCTTAAATGTTCTCGCCGTTTTCTACTTTCCAAAACCATTCCATTGATTTGGTAAAAATCCGCGTGGAAAGGTCCTACCATCTCCTTTATTAAATATTTTAGACACATCTCAAACTAATTTTAAGACAAGAACGGGAGAAGGGGGAGAGGAATTATAGGTAAAACCAAAAATGCTGGCTTACCCTTTTGTCTTCACGAAATATCCAGCCTGTCTGAGCTTTTGAAAGTGTAATGCTTTTTGTTGACATTTGTGCCGCCATGATATCGCTAGACATAAGAATATCAACTTCGTCTTGTATTTCTGCCTCTGTTCCCTGAAAGATGAATATATGATATGAAAAATCATCCTTTAACATAAATGCTGCTGATAGAAAGTAATTTGACCTCACAAACCACTTGTTGATAACGTTTTGCTTTGTTATCAAGTACTGCTAATGATTTGCTTGGCTTTTGATCACCGTTAAAAATGAATGATATGTCACCTCTTTCCCATCTCATGTCATTAAAATCTACTAAAGTGGTATCCATTCTAATAGATGCTCCACTTTTATGTATTTTACAAACATCAGAAGGAAGTACACGAGACACAAGTGGCACTGAAAGGATCCACATATTACATAATTGTAATTACCATGTATGACAATAATATAATG